GGCCTGCATGCTGCATGCTGTGGAGGCACAGACACACTGCTTCCCAGAGTTGGTGGTGAGCATAGCTCCCAGAGCTTGTGGTAAGTGTACTTCTGTGGTATTGAAAAATTGACTAGGACAGAGCCATCAACCAAAACCATGCCTTTGGTTCTAGCCACACAGCTTAGCAATTTAAAAACTCTTCTGGTTTGAAAAGGATTACAAATACACAATAGGACAGATTCAGATGGAAAAAAAAAATCTCCAAACAGTTTACAGTGTGTTTAAAATGTACATAGTCTTGGAAGAGAGAGGAAAAGGAGTATAGACAGTATATAAATAATAGTTTAAAAAAATAAAGTATTTAAAAAGACAGTAAAAGTAATATAAAAGAATTAAGCTACACAAAGATACACGGAAAGTCTGGATTATGTAAATTATTGTATTTTTTTGAATTGTTTTAATGTTAATGAGCTAACTCCAGAAGGACATTTGATTGTAAAGGATGCTAAGTTAAACCAACATATATATTTTAAAGGTATCTGGACTTCAAAATTTGGGTCTAAGGATATGTTCCTTTGGAAAAGAGGTTTTGCTTTTGTTTCCACAGAAGATGAGAAGCTGTGGATTTTTTCCAGGTTAATATGGTTCCACAAAAAAGACCTCCTGAGAGGTCTCCAAAGGAGCAATAGCCCAGATAATCCAAAATACAGAACAGCTTCAAGGCACCTGGCTGAGACGATGCAGTCTCACAGTCTACTACAGCCAAGACTTAATCATAATTCTAAATTTTGTCAGGGTCCCTTAAGATCACCAGCACCCACCAATCAGCAGGAAGTAGTCTACAAACTATGCCCAAATCCCCAAAATAATGTTTATAAATGTCTGCTTTTATTTATAGGGGGTTGATTATAATGGTTAATGGTCATAGTCAATTTCTTTCTAAAACAAGGGGGGATATGATACAGAAATGATAAAGAGGGGTAGTGTAGCTAGAGTTTTCCTGCTGGCCCACAGTCAGGACAAATCTCTGACACCTGCCAGTCCCACAGCCGCTCAGACCCAACCAAATAAACACAGAGACTTATATTGGTTACAAACTGTATGGCTGTGGCAGGCTTCTTGCTAACTGTTCTTACTGTTCTTACAGCTTAAATTAATCCATTTCCATTAATCTATACCTTGCCACGTGGCTTGTAGCTTACCGGTACTTTACATCTTCCTTGTCCTGATGGTGGCTGGCAGTGTCCCTCTCACTCAGCTTCCTGTTCTCTCAATTCTCCTCTCTGTTAGTCCCGCCTATACTTCCTGCCTGACCACTGACCAATCAGTGATTTATTCATTGACCAATCAGCAACACATTTGACATACAGATCATCCCACAGCACTTCCCCTTTTCTTTTCTTAAAAAGGAAGGTTTTAACCTTTACATCTCCAAAGTCAGCTTGGTATATTTGGGAATTTGGGCGTAGCTTCTCTTACTACTTCCTGCTGGAGGGGGGCGCTGTATCTTATGGGGACACAAAGAATATTTTAGGATTATGGAGTAGTCCGTGAAGCTGTATCGTCTGAGCCAGTTGCCTTGAAATGGTTCTGGATGTTGAATCATCTGGGCCATGGTGTCATTGGAGACCTTTCAGGTGGTCTTGTCTGGTCAAACCTGATGTATCTTAATCTGGAACAAATCCATAGCCTCTGGCTTTCTGTGGAAACAAAAGCAGAGCCTCCTTTCCAAAGAAACATATCTTTACATCCAAATTTTGAAGTCAAGGTACCTTTAAAATATACATTTTGGCATAACTCAACAGTTTTTGTAATCAAATGTTTTTCTTCAGTTACAAATATCAAAGAGAACATAATCCAGATTCTCTGTGTGGTAGCCATCTTTACGTGGCTTATTTTTTTTATATTAGCTTGAGCCTATTGCTTTAAACTGCAGCCTTCTAAGCTTGAAATGGCACTGGCGCTGCTGGCTCCGCCCACTTCAGCTTCCCAACATGGCGGTGGTACGTTTTCTGCCAGCTCTGGGAGCCATCAACTCTCAGAAATAGTGGGTCTATGCTTCTATCAAAGCAGCGTGTAGCCAAGAAACCTCTTTTTTTTTTTTTGTACTAGCAAAGGCTAAATCCACCACACAGCTTAATGTGCCACTTGGAGAGGCCTCATTCCCACCATACTGCAGGTCGAGCATGCACGCCAGGAACCCGCCATAGTAGCTCAAACACACAGGCTGCTGCTAGCTTGAAAGAGACAACTAGGAGCTGTTTTTAGCTCTGTTTTAGAATCTTTTTACTCAGGTTTTAGGTGGAAACTCTTGCCAACACGTTGGGTGCCATTTGTAGCTAGAGTTTTCCTGCCTGGCCCACAGTCAGGACAAATCTCTCTCACCTGCCAGTCTCACAGCCGCTCAGACCCAACCAAGTAAACACAGAGACATATATTGGTTACAAACTGTATGGCTGTGGCAGGCTTCTTGCTAACTGTTCTTACAGCTTAAATTAATCCATTTCCATTAATCTATACCTTGCCACATGGCTCGTGGCTTACTGGCATCTTCACATGCTGTTTGTCATCGTGGTGGCTGGCAGTGTCTCTCTGACTCAGCCTTCTGCTTCCCAGCTTTATTCCCCTCCTTGTCCCACCTATACTTCCTGCCTAGCCAATGGCCAATCAGTGTTTTATTTATTGAGCAATCAGAGCAACACATTTGCCATACAGAATATCCCACAGCACATGAGTGTAGTAGAATGTATCAGAAGTCATTTTACGGCTGCATTTCTTTAGTAGAACAGCAGTATTTGGTTTCACCCTAAGTCCCTTGAGTATCTAGTCCAGGTTCCTTGTCACTCAAGCAACATCAAATATGGGCTCCATCTCACATAGTGGGCTTTGAGTCAAGTCAGATATTGGTGGGTATTAATCCACAAGCCTGTAATCCCATTTTTACACAATGGGAATATGTTTCTTCTGCACTTTAGTTTTGTAGCCACCTCAAAATCATACAGGGCAGGGGGCCTCATGGCCTGGCTGCAATAGGAAAGGGTGAGCATTACCCATGAGGGGCCTGTGTTCAGCTAATTTCAGGAAAGGACACTTAGAATGTCAGATTCCAATGTTGTGAAGCCTGCCTTGTGTTTCTTAGGGATCCACAAAGATGGTGAAGCATCCCCTGGAGAGTGTCCTCATAGTTTCTGTAGTTGGATTCCAGATAGACTCTTTCAGCAGTCTCCTCTAAAGTGAGTTTGAGACAGTGATGAGCCTGCATTCTTAGCTTCATAGTGTGGTTGATTCTTCTTCTGGGTTACATAATGTTCAGGATTCTTAGTACTGGGCTTCAGCTGTGTCCTGTTCATTACTGAGGTCCCAACTGAATCCAGATGTGGATTGTCTATTACACTTGACCTCTATGTTATGAGACGATCATCCTGTGCTCATTTCCTGCTGGGATGACCATGGGATATCCCAAGTGATGATTCCTGTGTCATCTTTTGCTCACATGGAATTCTGTAAATAGAATCTTTCTGGGATAGTTTTAAATTCAATGAGAAACACAGAACTCTCAGAGAAACTGGATCCTGTCTATCCAGAATGCTTTCTGCTGCCTTGACACCCGGATGTACAGGAGTCAAATGCCACAATCAGTGCAGTAACACTTCCTTGTTCAGATGATCCACAGAGTGAGATCCTAACGACAGATTAGGGCACTAATGAGATTCATGAGACCACTCCTGTGCCAGCCTGGAATATACATTTCCAGAGAAATGTGATCTTTTCAGTAATGGTCATGCAACATGTGTCCATATTTATAAAATATGGAATTGTAACTTGATTTACATATTTAATGAATAATGTTGTTAAGCACAATTTTTATTCCCTTCCTTTGGTTCTTTCAAACATGTAATTAGTTCCTTTAGATTATAGTTGCCATAAGTTCTATAGAGTTCTAGACCTAGTACCTCACTTTATCTGTGTGGGTACCAACTGTCCATCTCTACCCTTATCTCCATCCACACATCTATATCCAACACAATGTGATTGCCACCTAATAAGAAGTGATGGAATAGGGCTTTTCTCCTCTTGTACATTAATATTGTCATACAGTTCCATGAATGGTGACACAAATGACCTCCATTATGTATATGATGGCTGTATATATGTGTCTACAAACCTCTATTATCTTTCAATATATTTACTTTTATTTCTATAAATTAATGTTTTAAACTTATTTTAACAGATACCCAGCAATTGTCCTTCATCATAGAAAGAGGAAAAGCCAGCCGGGCGGTGGTGGCGCACGCCTTTAATCCCAGCACTTGGGAGGCAGAGGCAGGTGGATCTTTGTGAGTTCGAGGCCAGCCTGGTCTACAGAGCGAGATCTAGGAAAGGCGCCAAGCTACACAGAGAAACTCTGTCTCGAAAAAAAAAAAACAAAGAGGAAAAGCCCACGAGGTTTCACCCATCTCAGAAAGACTATTGGCAAATTATGGCTGTTAGGAAATGTAATGCCATTTTCTTCAGTAGTATAACTACTGATAAGTTGCTAACACTCCCACCCACAGTCAGTCAAGAAGTTCTACTTAAATTCAATGGGTCACAAGTAAAAAGGAGACACAGAGCTAGGAGTTGGACATGTGGAGAAAAAGATGGTTTTTCACAAGAGAGGGACAAGAAGAGAAAGAAGAGTGGGATGGAAGGTGACTAAAATTAATTGCAGATATTTATAAAACTGTCAAATAAAAATTGAAAATTAAAAAAAAGAAATTTATTGCCAGAAAAAAGAAAAAAGTCCAGATCATCACTGAGTGATGCCTTTTTTTAACTTTTAGAGACATAATCTATTTCTACAGTGTATGGTTTCAAAGAAGATCCCCAGAAAAGCATCAGATAGAGAGGGTGCCCAGATAACACAGAAAAATAACAATTATGTCTGCTCCTGGGCTTTATGTGTGCTGAGCACCCCTGCTGGTCATGGGTACCTGGCGGGAAGGTTTTTGCCTGGCCTCATAGTGAAGACTCCTCACTGTGTTGTCTTGCACAGTAATAGGAGCCTGTGTCCTCAGTTTTAAGATTGTTCATTTCCAGGTAGACCATGCTTTGGGAATCATCTCTGGAGATGGTGAATCTGTCTTTCACCGAATCAGCATAATATGTTTCAGAATTATAACCTTTACTTCTTATACTGGCAACCCATTCAAGACCCTTCCCTGGAGCCTGGCGGATCCAGTGTATGGTAAAGTCACTGATGGTGAATCCAGAGACTGCACATGATAGTTTCAATGTTGCTTTAGGCTGCACCAATCCTCCTCCAGACTCAACCAGCTGCACCTTACAATGGACACCTGCAAACAGAAAGGATTCTGATGAAGAAACTGTCACACATGCCTACTGTCACTCCTACTCATGTCTTTTCATGCACCCAGTGCCGTTTTTATATCCATAAATTACCTTTTAAAAGAACAACCAAGAAAACCCAGTGCAGCCCCAAACCCATGTTGGTTGTTCTGTTTCCAGTGCTGATCACCAAATGAGAAGGCAGGGCTAGAGTCCTCTGCCTGAACTGCAGGGTCAGGGCAGGGTTGGTTTTCATGAGCAGAGGAAGGCTGTATTTGCATATATTCCTGCATATCTTATGGTCTGTTGTGTGAGCCTTTGGGGCAGCAATTAGTGGTGCAAATGTCAGAGAGAAAATGAAGTAACAACATGATCATAATTTCATTAAAATATTATTCATTATGTTTCTAATAAAACTTCAACCACCTTTATTTATTTTTGTGCATTTTTACATGCACCATTTACTACTTATCTTACCAGATATTATACAATAAATTCATAGAAGTTTATAAAGTAAAAATTACAATTTGATAATTTGAGGGGAACTAATATAAAGATCAATGAATAATGAAGAACACATTAAATTAAAGTAACAAAATTAGCTTGGCTGTGGTGGCACACGCCTTTAATTCCACCACTCAGGAGGCAGAGCCAGGCAGATCTCTGTGAGTTTGAGGTCAGCCTGGTCTACAAAGTGAGATCCTGGACAGGCACCAAAACTACACAGAGAAACCCTGTCTAAAAATTAATTAATTAATTAATTAATTAATTAATTAACAAAATAGGGCTGGGGACACAGCATAGTGAAAAAGTGTAACAGGCACAAGGGCCCAAGTTTTATCTTCATTCTTGAAAAATCAAAATATATTATATAAACACTAATACTATCTGTTGTGGGATGTCTTTCTGTATGCTGTGAATATGTGTTACTTTGATTGGTTGATAAATAAAGCCATTTGGCCCATGGCAAGGCAGCTTAGAGGCAAGAAGGAAATGCAAGCAGAGAGACAGGAAGAAGAAAGGAAAGAGAGAAAATAAACACCAGCTGCCACCAGGAGGAGCAAGATGTGAAAGTGCTGGTAAGCCACAGCCACGTGGCAACTTATAGATTAATAGAAATGGGTTAAGTAATAGGAGCTAGCTACCCAGAAGCCTGAGCCATTAGACCATACAGTTTATAAATAATATTAAGCCTCTGAGTGATTATTTTATAAGCAACTGTGGGAGTGTGGGTGAGAGAGATTTGTCCTGACTGCAGGCTAGGCGGGACACTGAAAAACTTCCAACTACAACTATCAGAGATTATTCTTTGATAAATAATAAAATCATATTAAACTCACATTCATGTATATGGTGCATGGATTTGTTAGTAGTGTGTTAGTTAACATCCTTGGAACTCCTGCTCTTTTTATTTTAATGTCCTCAACTAAGTATATGTTCCTTGCCTGTGGTTTCCACAGGAAGGCGAGGATTCTGTTACCTGGTCTGTAATGCCATGTCTGTATGTCCTCCCATCTCTGCAGTCCCCCTGAGAATAGAGGACTTACTTGGTGGTTGTGGGACCTGTCCCAACATGAGGACAATTGGTATAGCAACTCCTGTATTAGAAAAGAATGTTGGGACTAACTGTTTAATTGATTAACTAATTCAACTATTAAAGATACTGAGTTCTGGGTTAAGAGGTCCTATGGACTATGACATTATTGTTTCTGTGGCATTTTCAGGAAAGCGACTTTATTTAAAGCAACTAAATGCAGAGAGCTGATGATCTGAAGTCATTTCTGTTTCAGTCCTTTGATAACCAAATCATTCCTCTGATGGGTTCCATTAATTAAACAGTGTTATACGTGGGTAAGGAAAAGGAGGAAACTCTGGATGGATGTAGTAACTTGCTGTTCCATTTTTGCCCTGTTACTTAGGGCCCTGAATGACTGAGGTGTGCACATCACCTGCTGACCTGTGTTCCACATGCATCAGGGTGATCAGGTCTGGGGATTTCCTTCTGAGCTAGAGTCTAGCTGATGCACAGCACTCATCCAGGTCTAGAATGTAGATATTGAACTTCTGCTGCATGGCCTCTCTTGAGCTCTATGCTCCTTTGTACATTTATATGATGTCACCTCAATGGCTTTCTTCTCACAAGAATTGCTGGACAATATTCATGAAAATCTGCCCATAGTTGTGATATTGTAATAATCCTTCTAGTTGTAGAACAGACAATAATGAAAACAGATGCACATAAAATTGAATATGGAAGTTTACATTGGTTTAATCATATTTCTTAGGAATTGAATGCACTTAAAATATTTGATCAATTCAGTAACCACAGGAATATGTGCACAAAACAAATGATGAAACTTTCATTTCAGCTAGCCTAGGAAAGATAAGAGCAAATGGTCCAGGAAATTTTCAGTGGATGCTTCCCCAGCATGATTTCAGGATCATGAAGCTCACTTGCTTTAGAAAGAAAAACTTGCCTGGCGGTGGTGGCGCACGCCTTTAATCCCAGCACTCGGGAGGCAGAGCCAGGCGGATCTCTGTGAGTTCGAGGCCAGCCTGGGCTACCAAGTGAGTTCTAGGAAAGGCGCAAAGCTACACAGAGAAACCCTGTCTCGAAAAACCAAAAAAAAAAAAAAAAAAAAAAAAAAAAGAAAGAAAAACTTGTTCTCACACAAGACACCTGGTGAGCGACCCAGGGTTGTGTTTTGTATCCAGTGACAACAGAAATCAAATTTGTTTTCTGAACATTTGTCTCCCTCCCAACAACACAAAATAGAATTTTTTTCAGGTTCATAGACTTGAACTTTTTAATTTCTCCTGTTTTTGTTAACTTTTTCACATAATACATTATGACAGTGCCCCTCTAACTCCTCCAGATCCTCCCTACTTGTATTCACCAATCTTTAGCATGTTTATGTTTTATATATCTTTCTCTCTCTCTCCCTCTACTTCACTATTCTTTGTTTCTTATTACTAATGGGTCCTTATTAATGATACACTGGTTTACCACCTCCCATATTCTTACTCTGCCTCACTTTTTATCTTAGGAATTCTATAAAGACTACTGTCTCTCCTATCATTTTACTCCATGTGAATGATTAATGGATTTCTGTCTTCATTCCTGTAAAATGTAAGATGCATTTTCACTGGTCCAGTCTATGTGGACAGTGGTGACAAAGAGAATCCAATTTCAGGAAATAGGGGAATGAGCACCCAGGGCTACTGATGACAGGATCAGGTCTCTACATTCCCATCTTGGAATCCCACTGCTTTTTCCCCAGTGTTACCTGAGCAGGAGCCCAGCTTGTTGCCAAAGTAGCAGACTCCACATCAGGGTACTCCACAATTTGACACTCAGCTCCATCCCTGATTCTAAAACAATAAGTAATTTTATTACTGCTGCCAAAAGCAATTCATGATCAGATGCATCAATAACCTAAGCCAATAAATTAGATTTCATAGGAGATGTTAACGCACCTGCCCCAAAATCTATGGGGACCCTCCCCAGAAACTGCCTTTGCTTGTTTTAGGGAAACCAAACTGGACTGTGAAAGGGGCTTTGTTTGTGCACATGTTATTGATTTGTCTTTTACTGGCCTGACTCATAGTATAGCTTATTACCAGCTACTCCAGCAATAGCTCCAGTCCCTTAGATTTAAGAGATATTTATATCATAATGTTGTGCCACATTTTGTCCTATTTTGCTTTATTAAAAAAGAATCATGCCAATGGAGGTAGTCACCAGTAAAGAGCTGGTGAAGGTATGGTGTACTCTAAGGGCATCACTTTATTCCCAGCAGTCCTTTTGAAAAGTTGACAAAGACCCAATAAGACTGTGAAATGACAGACAAAGGGACACTCAGAAAGATTATTTGTAGATGAGATTCTAATTGGTCTTATTAAATAAAAAGCATGGAACCAGAAATTTGGGTTAAAGTCTGACAGAGATCAGGAAAATACTGAAAGCCACCAGGGAACCTCACCTCACCAACTCCACAGCTTCCAAGGAGTGCAACTTCCTGTCTACCCAGGCTTATATGCCTTGCTTTTCTGCCCTCTTGTTGGCTCTTAACCCACCTACCTCATTTTCTCTTCCTACACAGCTCTGTCACTTTCTGTCTGTCTGCCTCTATGGTTGGTACTGGGATTAAAGGCATGTGTCACCATGCTTGGCTCTGTTTCCTGGTGTGGCCTTGAACACACAGAGATCCTGCCTGTTAAGTGATAGGATTAAGGGCATATGCTACCACTGCCTGACTTCTTTGTTTACTTAAAATAGCTTGCTATTCCCTCTGATCTCCACACAAGGTTTATTTATAAAAGCACAAATAAAATATCACCACATTTCAGCACAAATGAAATATCACCACAATTATGTTTGAGCTAGTTTCCAGGCTAATCTTTTCTACCGTCTCAATCTCAGGGCAGATTCCTTCTAGTCCAGGGTTTCTGACACACTCAGGATGTGGGTTGCAACACTGTGTCTCACACAGTAATAGACCGCAGAGTCCTCAGATGTCAGGCTGTTGAGTTCCAAGTAGGCTGTGCTGGAGGATTTGTTTGCAGTCAGTTTGGCCTTGCCCTGGAACTTCTGAGCATAGTTAGTATTACCATTCAAAGTATCAAAATATCCAATCCACTCCAGGCCCTGTCCAGGCCTCTGCTTCACCCAGTTCATATAGTGGTCAGTGAAGGTGTAGCCAGAAGCCTTGCAGGACAACTTCACTGAGGAACCAGGTTTCCCCAGCTCAGGATCAGACTGCTGCAGCTGGACCTAGGAGTGGACACCTGTAGAGAAAAGGCAGAGTGTATATCATTGTCACCTCAGTCCCTGTTCCTTGTTCAGATTTGGAACTAGAAATTTCCTTACCTGTAGTGACTGACATGAGGAAGAGAATAATCCATCTCCATCCCATGGTGAGGAACTGTCTTCCCAGTGACTGTGGAGAGGACACTGATCATATATTGTTGAGTGAATTGTACATCTTTGTATTACAACTATAGAGTCAAGTAATTTGCATATTTATGAGCAGGCTACTTCTTAGATAAGGATAAGTCCAGCTGCAGAAGGGAGTAGGGGACACCTGGGTCAGGCAACAGGATGCTGAGATACAAGTCGTAATCCTCTATGAGGAAAAGTATAACATGCTCCTTCCCTGA